CCCCCCCCCCCCCCCCCCCCCCCCCCCCCCGTCAACGTTCAATGATAAGTGGAGATTGTCTGCCAACGTTAAGAAGAGTGCCGTCATGGTATGCAACGAGGACAGGGAGGAACCAATAGAATACAGATGGAAGCGGGGGATCGACGAGATTGCAGTAAGTAGTGGACCAGTACACATACCTCGGAGTAGAGATCGCAAAAGACTGCTCGTGGAATGCACACATGTCCAAGGTTGCGGAAAAGGGCAAGCACGAGCAGGGAAGCTGCACCCAATACTCGCAAACCGGCACCTCGATACACGCATCAAATTGACGGTTTTGAAGAGCGTAATCGTACCGCCGCTAGAGTACGCCGGAGAAGTATGGGAAGGAAATAAGAAGGTAGCGAAATAACTCGAGGCGGCGCAGATGAAAGCAGCGAAAATCATCCTAGGATGCTCCAAGCGCACAAGTAATGCAGCCGTCAGGGCAGAATTGGGGTTCCAATCCCTACGGTCGGGAAGAGACGCAAGGAAGCTGACATGGCAGTATCGCATGTGCGGGATGGGAGAGGAGAGGTTGCCGAGAATAGTATGGGAAGCGAAGTGGACAAACAAGACGAGGGGTAGACAACCCACGGAATGGGTCAAGGTTGTAGAGGACGTATGGAAGGGGTTCGACATCGACGAAGATGAAACGCTGGAAACAGAGGGTCTATAGGAGTTCAAGGAGAAGATATCTGTTGCTTGTGCCGAGAGAGAAGAGCAGAATCTACGGAAAGAAACCGAGGATAAGGAGGGTCTAGAAGTGTATGGAATGTTGAAAGAAGGAATAGGGTTCAAGTTTTAACTACATGGACCAATGGATGCAGGGACAAAGCTTAAGGTCAAATTCAGGACCGGGGACATAGGCCTTCGAGAACGTCGACGAAGACATAGGACGGTAGACGACGAAGACGATAAGTTCAAATGTGATTGCAGCTTCGAATGCGAAGACCGTGTTCATGTAGTTGCGGAGTGTCAGTTGTACGAAAAGGAGAGGGAAGTGTACATGACTGAGCTGGGAAAAATACAAGGGAGGTACAGGGAGATGTTTGAGGCATGGAATAGAGAGGAGAAGACGATAGCTGTACTAGGGACTAGGAAGTGGTTTGAAAAGGCGGGAAGGGATATCGTTAGGATTGATAGACTAGGGAAGACATTATTGAGCCACCTTTGGCAAAGTAGGAAGGAGCGATTTGCCATCGGTGCTCGGTCCTGTGGGAACAATGCTCCGTCCTCTCGAGGACGCGTGGTCAATGGTCCAACCGCTAAGGCAAGCAAAACATAAGAGTACGCCCCCCCCCCCGTCAATGGTTCGCCAGGCTTGTTCTCCCGTTTTGCAATGGTCTGGGAGCGAGATGTCACCAACCGGGGGCAACACTTGCGCGTATGTGCACCACGAGGCTTTTCTGTCCCTTCTTGGCCGATATATCATCACTTACTGCACGACGAAACTCGAACTTTGAAGCCGATCGTGGTGTCCCCTCACCGATCCCTCGAGTTGCAGCGACCCCTCCCTCAAGACCAGAAGAGCCCTTCAGCACAGCAAGAAAGGCTACCACACCCACTACCACTGCTGCTGCTGGTGGTTGAAACCCATGGACTTTCCCCGCAACAAGTTTCAGGAACACGTCTCACCGGCAACAGGCGGTTGTGGAGGGGGCGGCGGGCGGAGAGCGTAGCCTGGCGGCACCTTTACTCGGGAATACTCGTGCGCCCGGTCCGCCGGGGGATGGGACTGGTCCCCGCCGCCCCCGCCCGCCCCTCCCGCCCCCGCCCCCGCCCCTGCGGGGGGCTCTGGCTTCCACTGGAGGAAGCACTGCGTGCACCCGGGCTTCATGCTGGGGGGGACCCATGGCGGAAAGATGCGCCTGTCCCGCAGGGCCACCCAGTCGACGTTGCGGAACCACTTGTGCTCCTACGGCGGCGGCAGAGCAGACGGAGAGCGAGGAGAAACGTGTGGCGTACGGCATCGGCACCAGAAAAAAAACGAAACGATGCGAGAATGTAAGAAATATGAGAAGAGTACTACGACTAGACGCGCTAACGAAGCGAAGAACAGAGAAGGGGAGGACACACGCAACAAAGATCATGCTGCAGAAGATCATTTCAGAAACGGAATCCCGGGTGTGGCGCTACACCCAACCGTTCAGAGCAGTGGTGCAGCACCCACGACAGCGAAAGGCGCACGGAGAACAGACGGCGACCAGGCGCACGGAGAACAGACGGCGACCAGTTTTTTTGTGTAACAGCAAGAGCGAGAGTGGTATATTTTACCACACTCGTAGCCCACGTGTTACCGTACTTAACTGCCCTGTATCCGTGCCTGCGCACGCCCGCGACGAATACCACATGCACGTCTCACCCCCGTGCAGAGACTTCTGAGTTTTCATTGAGTGCATTCATCCCTGTCACTATGCACCCGAGACAGAGCCAGGTCCTGGTACGCTCCCCCCACCGGCACAGCGAAGGCGCCAAGAACAAGACCCATCAGCAGCAGCACAGAAGAAAGAAAATACGCAACGGCAACTACCGTCAATGGAGCACCTGAACCCCCTGCCAGCCGAGCCGCGTCGCCGGGTTCTTGTCTAGCAGCCGCCTCAGCAGCCCCCTCGCCCTGGCGCCGAACCCTTTCCCGAAGCGAAGCTTCTTCTCGGTGATGTTGGTGTAGATCTCGTACTTGGTGAGGTCGGCCGAGTCCCCGAAGGGCGAGCATCCCCCGAGCAGCTCGTACACCACGCACCCGAAGGACCACCAGTCCACCGCCGGCGCGTGAGCCCCCTGTCATCGATGTAAATTGTTGGCAAAGACAGAAGAGAGAAAACAAAAGGCATCCACGAGGAGATAAAGGGTACAACCCCCCCCCAACGTCTGTCGAGGACGATTTTTCACATCAAAACTACAAGTAACATGTATTGGAAGTGCCTGAAGAACGTTTCCTATCGGTCCAAGCTTCGGTGCCCCCATCAAGTTCTGATCTTGGCCGGAAAAAATCGGTCTGGCGGGTGGGTCGACGTTCAGCCAGGGTCGACGGTTTCGATTGTCACACACGGCGGGTGCGGCGGACGACAACACAATTGCCAACGTAATCGGGTTTCTTCACGAAACGCGGCGGTTACCCCGCGGGCTCGGCAGACACGGGGAGCGACGACGGGAGGGGAAGGCACGACAGCACTGCCCGCAAGGCAGGAGGCGGAGAGAGGAGACAGCAGTAGCGGGGAGGACGGGACGGGGGCGAGAACTCAACGTAGCAAAGGAGAGAATAGCACAACAGCACGGGCGTATTACACAGATTCAAGAGAAGCGAACATACCAAACTTAGCGGCCATGGCAACAACACATGTAGGACAGAGCACGAACCTGAACCCTGTGCTTTGCCAGCTCGGGAGCCATGTAGGCGCTCGTCCCCATGCGGCACTCGTCCCACTCCCGGGCCTCCTTGTCGAGAGCGAGGCCGAAGTCGACGACCTTGACGTGCCCGTCCGCGGCGAGGAGGATGTTCTCCGGCTTCAAGTCGTGGTAGATAATGCCCACCTTTGATTGCGAGCGTGGGTTCAATGTGAGGATCGAGGTTGATGTTGAACCAGAGACAGGGACGGTGGAAGCTATAGAGAAAGAGAGTAAATGGCAAAAGGGCAGTCAAGCAAAGTGTCGGCAATGATTGTCCCAGGTCTCGGTGTGAGTCCGCTGGTTGTGGTGTGTGCTCGGAAGCAAGCGCCAGCCAGAAGCACGCCATGCTTTTATAACGCCAAGTCGGCGGCACAACGACCATAGTACACGGCAAGAAAAGCACACACTGCCTCACGCTAAATACGCAACTAGACACGAAACCTACCTTACTACCATAACACCCACCTCGTTGTGCATGTACTGGAGGGCGTCCGCTATCTCCGCCGCGTAAAACTTGGCCTCCGCGTCCGGGAGCCGCAGCCGTGCCCGGATCCTGTAAAGGAGTTCCCCGCCCGCAGCGTACTCGAGGACCAGCATGCACCGAACGTCGTCCTGATCCGGAGGAAGAAGCGACAAAGAAGAAACTAACTACATCAGGTGTAAATTCTGGCGTGACTGACAAAGAACGCCTGCAACGCGCACAGGATTTTGGTCTGCGTATGACCACCCCGGATTGGAGCTGTTAAGTTGAGAATGAAGAAGATACTACTGAGAGGTAGACAGAAGCTGCGAGCAGTCAGCCTATGCCTGGACGCTCCGAGGGGTCTCCGCAGCAAAACCACACCCCGTAGGGTGGTGCTATAGTCACGCCTCCTCTGCTTCATACATCCCCTATGCGCCCTCTGTTTCGTGCTATCGCAGCCGGCAAGAATGACGTTCCGTTAGTCACAGGTCAACCCAAAAACGTAAACATGTACCTTCGCGAGTATTCGGGGCTTCATGGACAACAGACAGACCTACCTGGTGTACTCCGAACAGGTGCACGATGAAGGGATGCTGCATGCGGGCGAGAGTGTCGATCTCAGCCTGGATGACGAGGATAGACCTCCTCTCCGAGACTCGTGCCTTGGTCATCACCTTGACCTGTGTGTGTCACCGTGTACATCGCGCACATGATCACGGCCCGACGAGCGCGGGAAATGAACTGCCGCGTGAAGAATACTCGAGACGAAAGAGAGAAGTTGTGCTAGGCACTACTGTCTCAGCCCGATTCGAATAGTGTATGCAAGAATTTCTACCCACGCATCTGTCTGTCTATCTGTCTCAACCGTCGCGCAATACTGTAGCAAGACCGGCCGAGGGAGGATGTCAGATCTGCGACAAAAGGGACATTTTCTGTGATGTCGTCTGGGTTAGGATTTCCTGTCGTGCACGATTCTCTCTCGTGTTGCAAGATTCTTCCATGTGATACACCGCGTTCAACGACGAGTCGCTCGCAGATAGATTATGTATGTTTGTTGCTTTCACTTACGACGATAACGGCAACGGCGGCAGCAGAGAGAGAACACGAAGCGGGAGATGCAGAACGAGTTGGCGACGTACCCCATGAACGATAAACGGAAGCGGGCAATGAGTGGCTGGCGCATTTTGAGACAGCCCCACCCACTTCCCGTAATCTTTAGATTGATGCATTACTCTACGCCTACAACGGTGGTTGTGCCGACAGGACCACGCCCCGGTTGCGCCCCACCCGATCCCTGCGTGCAAGAAGTGGCACCTCTGGTACCGCTGGTATAACCATACGCACCCGTACGCACATGTAATTCTCTGTATATACGAAGCTGCTGCATGCAGCATCTGCAGTATGTGATCACCATTTACTTTTGTTCATGGTTTGTCCGTGAGTTCAGCAAGCCCCTTCCTCTCCTCCGCCTCCTCTTACCGCGTAGTACTCGCCCGTGTACGAGCTCTTAGACAGGCGCGTCACGCCGTACGCCCCCTTTCCCAGGATAGGCCCGTCCCCGGCGACCAGGCCCTTCTCGTACAGGGGAGGGTTGCGGGGCTCCCCTTCTCGTGGGGGCCTCGCGATCCAGTCAAGGTCGCTGTACATGTAGAATAGTTCACAACAAAGAGCAGGTAAAACGCGCATCGTACTGCAGTGAGTACTGGGGGCTGCTGTACGTATGTACACGGGTACCTGTATTCCCCGTCCCTATGCATATAATCGAAAGGAGGAACCCGTTGTTCAATGTTAGAGTCGCTACCCTTGTTTTGCCGAATTGTAGGTATGCTCTGCTGCGAATGGGAATATGTCTACACTGTACACTGTACACAGCAGTACATGAGCGCATGCAGCTGAGGGGCCGCGCGCGTTGGCAGTTGACACACCTATCATTGTCCTGCTGCTTCCCAGCGCTCTGATTGACCACCATTTTGTAGGATGGCCCTATTCCCATCCCGAAGGTCAGGTTCCAACATGCCCCCTCCCTCTCTCGAGCGCTGCACCTTAGTCTCGCGTCATGCGACGTGTGTCTGATTTGTTAGCTCGCGCGGAGGGGCAGGATGTGATGGTTCTCTTTGGCGGTTACACGATACGCCTCGTTTCATGTTTTTCAGATGGAACAGTCCCGTGCATGCGGCCCAACGCCAGCGCGAAGGAGGTTTTGAAGCGCAGACCAGCCAAGACAAACCGCACAGCAGCGGGAGACCGACAAAGACACATGTTGCTGACCGTGGGAGGGCCTCTGGTCTCCGCGTACGCTACACTGCACCCGTTGCTGCTTAGCGCAGGCACCCTGAACCCCCCTGGGCAGCACACCGGTACCACCAGCATCACCGCCACTGGCGATTGCACCCGACGGCAACAAACGCGCCCGAACTCAGCATCCTCGGGGCCTCGACTGCTGCATCCCAGGGGTAGCGGTCCCGATGGTGTACCGTCTTCTCTCTTCACGTTCCAGCCCAGGACGACGCCGAAGAAATACCCACAGGAGAAGAAGAGAGCTGGCGGAGACTCTGCCTCGACCTCCTCTGCTCCTGTTGCTGGAGAGGAAAATGTGCTGCGTGCTGGCTTGATGGACGAATCGGACCTTCCGGACGTGTCAGCTCTCCTTGTAGAGGTACGGCTATATAGCAGAGGTTCGTTCTTTCGACCTCGGGTTTTGCGTTCCTCGTTGTACGGAGCAGCTGCTTACATGGATCAGCTTCTGCGGATACACTCTACGGCTGTGAGTACAGTCTACTGGTGTGAGTACGAACAACAGCTTTTTGTCAGGACGCCCATGGCCGCAGCAGCAGCGGCAGCACCAGCAGCAGCGAGAGGAAGAACAGCAGTGTTAATAGTAGCAACAGCGTTCCCTGCCATTTGGTGTGAAGCAGAACCACAAAGTGTACGGTGTTGCATGCTGTTTAGAAACCTTTGCTTCCGGCGGCAACAGCAGGCGTTCCGTACAAGTTGCACATGCGCGCAAATACGCACAAAAATCCACCCCCAACACCCCTGGAACTAAGGCAGTGCGCGTCAGGCGGCGTCACGTGATGGTAATTGCACCGCCTCTCTGGGAGCACCATCCATCGTCGCGCCTTTGCTCACACTGGGGTGCGTTCCACGCCGAATCAGGTGTTCGAGCCAGGAGTCGTCCTCGCCGACGGCGAGTTCACCGGACTAGAGAGCGTCATTCTTGGGGCACCGATTGACATGACGAACAACTACATGAAAGCAGTGGCTTACAACGAGGTGTGTTCGCTTGCTAGGAAGGGCTCGGGGAACAAAAACAGTAGTGCCTGGTAGCGGAGAACCTGCCCAATGAAACGTTTTGTGCCTCGACAGGGAACGCATCGAGGGTGCACAAGGGCGAGGTGCTATGCCGCTACCAGTACCAACGAAACAGTGACAGTGGCCTTTTTTCTAGGCGCCGAGCGCAAAAGCTGAGCACTCATATTAATGTGTTTTGTGTCGTCAGCTCCCTGCCGGGTGCATGGGCGTTTATGTGAGCTACTTACCACTCACTGTGTACCAACTTATAAAATGCACAGCCTTTGCGAAAGGTGAAACCATAGCAACTACAGCAGCGCAGCGCGGTTCGGGTGTTGCAGGTAAGTCCAGCATCAAGACCCGTACCTGCAGCCCTCCTCTATCTTATGTACTTAAGTCGGCGAGCACCGAAGGCGACTCTTGCCTGGCAAATCAAGTAGACCCCCCCCACTCTGGATTGCTTTCACAGGGTCCGCGCCATGCTCTGTTGTTAACGGCTCTGCTGTCAAATCAAGTAGACCCCACACTCGTGATTGCTTTCACAGGGTCCGCGCCATGCTCTGTTGTTAACGTCATTGGAAAAAGCTCTTATGTACATGAGTCGAATCGCCTGCGACCAACTATTTCAAAAGGGTCACTCGCACACTCACCAGCACGCCTTCTTGCTCGTGTTCTTCTTTTTTTTTCTCCATGCCGCTCGACACACAACCCCAGATACTGTACTCGTTGAGGTCGCGATGTGGGAACCGCCTGACGCGCGGGGACTTCGACCGCAGCAGCGATGCCCTCGTCCTAGCCGTGCGGGGCCCACCCAGTACCAGCGGGAAGTCATCATCGACGCCCGTCACGCAGGACGGCGACGCCGATGGTGGAGTTGGTGGTGGCGGTGGCGCCGCAGAACTGGTGGCGGTGGTAGAACTGACGATACGGAAGCCGGACGGTTCGCTACCGTTGAACTGGCCCTTCCCTGCACCTTGGCGAAGAGAGGTACGTTCTATGATGAGTGGGAACGGTCTTCTCGGCGGGACGTATGGTGCTGATACTGTTTTTTTTTCTGGTGTTTGAATGTTAACGGCACGGCAAGTGAACGAGGACTGGCGGGGGGTAATTCTGGCGGCAATCCGGGATTTCTGTCGAAGAGCAATTGACGCGCAGGTAGCAGCACCGCTGTCGAGCGAGAGGTAATCAATCCTTCTCTGAGCGTACACATGGTACATGTAGCATGTTGCAGCATTTCTACGTATTGCATGTGCTGTGAGTGATATTCCCATCCTGAAATGGAACGCTCTTGACGTAGTGTACGAGATCTCAAGGCACGGGATCTCATCGTGCCATTGCTCTATATAGAGGTAAGCAAACCACTAGCTATTTCCAGACCTTCCTCCCGTTCCAGTGTGATTTTGCCAGATCGCCTTCAGGCCGTAAACATGTAACGGGGGTTCAGTGTTCAAACTGTCTTATGCATGGCTATTTCGCGTTGGCTCAGTCTGGTGGCCATCGCCATGTAGAGCGTATGTTCTCTGTAACGATTGGTTGTATTCTGCGTATTTGAACCCTTATTAGATTTGTGAGCCTGCGAAGACGGAGATTGATGTCAGACCGGGAGTGTTTTGTGCGGAAGACTTATAGATAGAGGTAGGGGTGTTTTTTTGTCGCAAAAGACACCAATGCCATCAACGAAAAGCTTGTGACTTTAGGCATCGGTGCAGCACGGGCCTGAATGACGTGAGCTTTCCCTTCGCACCCGTTTCTTTCTTGTTTTTTGCAGAAGCCACCTGAGCAATGGCAGCCGTACATGTGCAACCTAGCTGTTGCGGAGGAGTACCGAGGAAACGGGTACGGAAAGCAGCTGGTGCGGCTCTGCGAGCACGTGGCGAAAAACAGTTGGGGGTGAGTGGAGGAACTGGGCACGAGGTTACTCGATTTAGTCGGTGTTGCACAACACATCGCCTTTTTTTATGCGAATCCTGGAGGGGGAACTTCACCCCTGCTGCAAGTCAAAAACGCTTCGAAGCGAATGGTAATTGTGGCATGGCGCATCTAATAATAGCCTGCCTTCTGTTCAGAATTGCGATACAGCTGAGCTGTGTATTAGCCATGCGGGCATCGACTAGGTAGCCAATATTTGTTTTGTTCGGAGGATCTACCTAAACATCGTCGTTGCCGACGTTTTGAGACTTGTCTCTTGACACTCGGGGTACACAAGACAGCATATTCGATACCTCATAGAGGGTCACCCAGATATCTTGTTACAAGTAGTCGGCCTGTTTTGTCACCGATGTTTGCGCCCCCCACCCCACCCCGGCTTGCACCTTATCTCGCGTTGGACTCTCCTCCCCCTAGGCCACCCCTGCCGCATTTGTATTCCGTGTCTCCCACAACAGAAGTTTTCGAACCCTACCAACAATCACCCCGACCTGAATGTTTTTCGGCCGAATATAGGTATGAACGCATGTACCTCCATGTGGATCTGGGCGATCCCGCTGCGACCGGGCTCTACTCGTCGATGGGGTATGAGGGCATAGAGAAGTACGACGCGCCCCTGTGGATGAGGAAGCTCTTCGGTTGGCCGACCATTCGGTATCAGGTTAAGCGATTCAAGGGGAGGAAGGGCGCGCCGGCGTTGGCGGCAGCGGAAGCTGTTGGCCGGGACGGCCAAGCTTGAGCCACCCGATAGAGGAACTGCGTGTTTCTTCGGAGTAGCGCGTGATTTAATCGTGATCCAACGCGTCCCGAAATCTCTCGCTCAATGTGTATAAGAGACTTTCCCTGGATGTCTGGAGCGCGCGCGTTTCATCATGTCACCCTTCCCCCCGCCCCCGCCCCCCCCAAACAAAAGCGTCCCGGGTATCTTCTTATCTACGAACGGGGGGCGATTTGCTAGGAACCGTAGAACGAGGCAAGCGCTCTGGGGGTAGGCACCGACAGCGGGCGCGTGGTCGTTTTTGGGTGGAATTGATGACGTGCCACCTCCCCTTGCTTGAGAGCTTGAGAGCACCCCCCCTGTGTTCGCGTCGGTGCAGGAGTAGATAGTAAGGTAGGTGTGGGGATGATATCACAGGGCCCTCAAAGCCCTTCGAAAGATTGTAGAGACGGTTGGTTGAGGGCCCAGCAGGCATGTCGGTCTGCACCATTTGAGAATAGGAGCAGCAACGACGCTTATTGCAGGGCGGGGGGAGACACTGGGTAAAATTTTGCAGAGGGTTCGGGCGCATGCAGGAAGGACGTTGTTGATGTTCCCGTAAACCAGGGGAGACAAAGAAGATAGAGCAGAAGGGTCAAGCAACCTATTTAGAAGCCAGGCCAAAATTAGCCGTCTCTACTAAATTTACCTCAATGTTGATGTATTGCACTGCCATTGGAGGTCTCGGTATCTCGAGACGGACTTTGTTGGGCCCCAGCCAAGTGAAAGTTGGATTCTAGATGAGAGAGGACAGCGACCGGTGTCGCGCCCTCGTTATGTCCCATAAGTACCGCCCGGACATTGTTAGAACCTAATTGGCATAGTTTTTGTACTTGGTAGAACATAGAATAGTCTACCTGTGAGTCCAGGCACCTTAATCGATTAGCCAGGGAGGGCAACACCGTCGACAACAAGGTGTTACTAAAGTTTTTGGATGCGTTGCGAATGTGCAATGTGGACGCTCGACTCTTCTTCTGGTAGTGCCAGAAGCTGATAGTATGTGTTTGTATCTCAAGAGTGATTCCGACCTGGGAGTTCGATTGTGTGGCTCTTAAGGATGTCACCAAAAAAGGAAAGACTCCCAACCTTATCACATTCTTCTCGGTGTGCTGTAACTACCACCTCGGGATGTACAGACTGCAGAGGGAAGGATTTCCACCTCGTGAGCTCATCACATCATCATCATCCACTGAACTGCTGTGTAGTTCATACAACATACTTTTGACATTTCGTGTACCTGGAATGAATGTCTTTTTCAGCCGTTTGATCAGGATTAGGGTGTGAGAGTTGGGAGAGCCCGGCCAGACGGACGGACGCTTCTTCGTTGGGGCATCCAACCTTTCTTCGGAGTGAAGGGCACGCCTCCAACATGATTTACGTGGTAAAGAGGGAAATTGGCACGCACGTATGCATACAGTAGGACCTCCTCACTCGGCGCTGTGGAAACTACAGCTGTGGCTACGTACAGTGTGACTGTTGCTGTAGTCTAGGCCATGGTTGCAACCCGCATCAAGGTGGTGACAGCTCGTCGTAAGGTATTAGAAGGTTTGATGGATGGTCGCGGTGCGACCAGTAGAGCGGATTATTTAGGCTTGTACTGCTGTAGACCTTCAAAGGACACGTCCTCCACTATATATAGCGGTAGTCGAAACTACCATCGGTACCCTTTTTTGTTCCGTAAAAATTAAAAAATTCCACCTCTCAGTTTGAAATGATACCTAATGATCAGTGAGAGGGCTTGAAGACCCCGGACCTCGTGCTTCTCTGTCCGCCCAATGTGAGAGCCCTGCGGGCTCACTAGAGCTGCTTCTTTTCTCACCAGCACACAAACACACAGCTTTGGACTTGCTAACATCCGACGTGGAGGGATAAGGGCTGCAGAGTGGCAAGCATCTCCTCGGCTTTGCAGCAAGATGTACGCACAGCATATTGTACAGCAACTTATTGTCCACGCCTCCTTGTTTTTTTTCGTAGGCAGACACAAAAGCAACAGTCCCGTGTGCCTTGTCAGCAAGCAAGAGGACCAAGGAGAGAGCAGCAGTACAGCATCTGGCATTGAAGAAGAGAGGGGGGTAACATGTTGCTGAACCTAGGAGGGCCTCTGCTGGCCTCGTCCCATGCTGCGCTGTACGCGTCAGTGCCTAGTTATGGGCGCCTGCCGCCCGGCGTAGCGTCGGCGGCTCGCATGAACGCCATTACCCAGCAGAGGCTAGGCAGCAGCAGCAGCAGCAGCAGCAGCGGTAGCATCAGACGGCGACGACACCGCCCCAGTTCAGCGTCATCAGGCCCTCGACTACTGCATCCCAGTGGTAGTGGTCCCGAGGGCGTGCCCTCTTCTCTCTTCACGTTCCAGCCACCAAGGGCTACCCCAATCGAACGCCCGACAGAGGTCGCACCTGGCGCCAGCGAAGGCGGCCATAACGGCGGCAGCGAGGATGGCGCTGGGCAAAGTGCCGCTGCTGTAATCACGAAGGCTGTGGCATCTGCTGATGAAGAAGCTCTACACGTGAGGCTGGTCGAAGAATCGGACCTCCCTGATGTCTCAGCTCTGCTCGCGGAGGTGAGAGTGCAGTATGAACAGGTACCTTGGGTTGCCCAGAGGCCCCTGCGGAAAGGGAGTCTATTATAGTCTCGAGAGCTTGTAACTGCTGCTGTAGCAGCCGCCCTGCAGAGTGTCCTCGACGTGTCGCCTACATACATGGACTCTATAGCGTCAGTTGCCGTTGTTTCGGTTTTCGTGGCGCTCATGATACAGCTTGTGTTTTCCTTCCTATAGCAACGACAGCAGCTCGATTAAGGACTAGCTACAGTTACGCATACCAAAGAACAGGCAGCACTGGGGTGTATGCGGTATATTCCGCTCAACTCCCGCCAGGATGTGTGCGTTTTCACTCCGCGCTGGATTTAACAGCCACGTGGTCTCGTGAAACTCTTGTCTTGTGAACATTTCGGTGGTATTGGCAACCGGAAAAACAGGTGTTTGAACCAAACATTTTGATAGACCCCGCTGAATTGAGGAGCGAGTCATCGGTAGAGCGGCTGGAGAAGGCCAACAAGTACCTGAAAGAGATGGCCTACAAAAAGGTGGGCGGGACGCATCCAAGAGAGGAGAGGGAGTGCCCATTGGTGGTTTGGTTGGATATCTCTTGCCAGGTCAACTCAGGAGAACCGCTATAATACGAACAGTCGGTACGCAGCAGTACCTTCGCGTTTCAGTTTTTTTACCATTACAGAGGTTTTACCCACTACTGAGGTTTACCGAAGGTAACCGTCTTGTCGCGGGTCATCGCGATGGAAACTAGCCCATGTATTAGTCGGTAAACCTGGGCTCTGTTGTTTTCTCTCTTCTTTCTCCCAGCCTCTGTATATATATGTACACCATGCACCGTCTCTCGCTTCGCCGGCCCTTCCGTTTTCCGTCTTTGTCTCCTGGTGCGGCGTGTTCTTTGTTGCTGTCTCATCCCTGTCTTCGCCATTGTGCCGCCCGCGTCCAATCCAGATTTTGCGCTCCATCAAGTCTCGGTGTGGGAAGCGCCTTACGCGCGGGGATTTCGCTCTCACCAGCGATGCGCTCGTGCTAGCCGTAAGAGACAGCCGTCCCAATGGCAGTGCCCGCGCGACGTCCGCCGTACCGGAGTTGGGCGGCGACGGTGCTGGCGATGGTGGCGGTGGGGATGCTGGCGATATCGTCGCGGTTGTAGAGCTGTGTCTTCGTCAACCGGATGGCTGGTTGCCCATCAACGGGCCATTTGTGGTGAGGTACTTCGCTGCTGTCCTACTCAACGATAGTGTTTATGTCTGTGTTGCGCGAACACGACGGCATTGTTATCGTGGCAAAGTTCCCGAATGGCCGGCTGAGTAGCAGCAGACGTTCGGAAGAATCTTTGTTCTCTGGTGTTGTGTTGCATTCCAGGGTAGCTGCCGCTTCCTTTCTGTATCTCTTGTGTCTGTAGTTTGTCCAGGCGCTGACATAGGCACCCCTTTTCGTGCCGCACCCAGGTTTGTGCTCTTGCTGTTCCCCGTGACTGTACAACTGCTGTCTGTGTGTTTCTTACATGCCTGGTCCTTCCGACCGAGACGGCACCCGCAGCACCGAACAACTCCAGTATTTTTGTGTTGGTGACCAACTGTCCTACCAGTACTGCTGCCTGGTTCGATCGATGAAGCAAAAGTCACAATCGCAACAAGGCTCCCCCCCCCCCCAACTCTTTGCTCTCCGTACGTGCAAAAGCCAATGACGGGGTGGGAGCCATACATGTGCAACCTTGCCGTTACCGAAAAATACCGAGGGAATGGGTACGGCAAGCAGCTGGTGCGACTCTGCGAAGGCGTGGCCAAAAAGCATTGGGGGTGAGTGCCAGAGGGGAGATTCCGCGTATTTCACGTGGATGACAGACAATTGGAAGCGTGCTGCAGGATCCAGCGACGCTCATATGCTAATTGTAGGAAACAACCGATCCGAAGAACCGTTCCCGGAACCGTCGGGATTCGGAAAACCACCGCCGACCATATGTACGGATCTGCCACGTGCCACTTGATGGCAAGGGTGGGTGGACCGTCTGCGGCACCGTCTTGCGCACCCTCCTTTTCGGAAACTCTCTCCTTACCCAACTATCAACGGGGAAAAGCTGCCTGTGACCGGTAGCCGGCTACAGCTACCTCGGCCTTGGGAACTCTTCAACCATGCTGTCTTACGGAGGGAGCGCAAGTTGTCACCTGTAGTCCATCCGATTTCATATTGCCACAGCAGGAGTACTCGTGTAGAAGCTTGTTTGGGGTGTTGTCTTGCTGTTGGTATATGTGTCGGCCATCCAGGCGTACATTGTTTTTAGGTGGCACTTCCCACACAACGTTGTCGTAAAGCATCAAACCATCACCCTGGGTACGAGAATGCGTAAGTTCCGCCTGGTTTGTTTTCGGACGACCTACCTACCCCTTACTACCCTTGCTTGTTTTTGTCCATCCATATCGCGTGTGGGGCTGAGGGTTTTACTAATGCAGTCGAAAATTGCTAATCTTGTTTTTTTTCACGCCGGATTTTTTTTTCTCTTTTTGAGCAGTTATGAACGTATGTACCTCCACGTGGACGCTGCGAGTCCCGCGGCGACAAGCCTCTACTCGTCGATGGGGTACGAGATCATGGAGCAGTTCCAGCCGCCATCGTGGGTGAAGAAGCTCCTTGGATTGCGGGACATTCTGTATCAAGTGAAACACTTCAACGCGAAAAGCACGCCGGCGTGAACGAACAACCGGCGGGGGCGTTGCGAACAACAACAGCTTTTTTTGAGCGATGCAGGTTTCACTTGCGGGTGAGAAGAACGGCTGCTACGCCGCACCGGTACATTGCAGGCTACTTCAGGCGTGGACAAGTGCCACGCTCGAAACATGCAACGATAGATGGTGCGAGTCTCTATTCTTCCTCGGAGAGTGTTTAGGCAGTGGTTAAGAGTTTTGGTAAATAGATGAGGCAGGCACGTGTTTTGTGTCTGCAAGAGGCTAAGGTCTTGACGTGCTTGTTCCGAGCCGACGTTTCTCGTCGCGCACACTGGTACGAGGTTTTCGGGTAGACATCCCAACCGAAGTGTCTACCGTAAGAGTCGGAGAGATGGCACCCTGTGGTGTTAGCGCTTTTTTTTTAAGCGTATTTCTCCACAACTAGGAGGGTGCGAACACCAACCGATACCTCTCAGGAAAGCCCTCCACGAGATGTTTCCAAAACTACCCTTTCGGCAGTGGTACCCCCCTGGTTGTGGAGAAATACGATATACAAAAACGCTAACACGGGGGTGCCATCTCTCCGACTCTTACGGTAATATAGAGGAGCTTCACTGGGGCACATGCTCCGCGAATGTTCAAAAGAAGTAACTGCTTCCGTAGTGAACTGGGATTTTTTTTTTGTGTTTATTTTCGAGCGAGTCAGAAAAACACCGGCATCGCTTTCAGTATTTTCAAGACAAGTAAGCATCGCAAGCAACGCAGCGAATCGTTCCCCGGCTGTAGACCAAAGTTTTCGGAAGGCGCACGGTAGGTCTGAGTCGTTTACATCCTGCCGCGACGACTGCCGTAGGGCCCTATTCAGCTCGCAGACTTGTTAGGTGTAGAGCGCACTAAAATCGCCTGTTTTAGATACCCAATTGAGAGTTTGGGAGGGCTCGGGGATCAGCTGGAGAACTTGACAGTGGTAACGGTGTAGCCCCGAGAGGTAACGAACTCTGTTAATGGAAGACCGTATCAACCGGTTGACCACGCAAGATACCGCGGAACAAAGCTTTGGCGTTGGTGCACCGGCAGAGAAGGCTCTTTAGTATAGCGGTAAGCAATCTCTGAGAGCGGTAACCATTGCGCCGCCCTGTGTACAGTTTCCCTTGCGCACGTTGTGCTCCCATGTGTTACACGAACAGCGTTGGATGGCAATCGATTTCGGGCTGGGACACATCCCTGTCAAACGGCTCTTAGCATCCATGAAGTGCCCAACCTGCAAGTTGACGCCCAGTACCCTGTTGGTGTATGTGAATGCCACAAGCTCGAATTTTACGTCGCTACACACAGAAGCCGCATGCGTCAAGTGACGGCGGGTACTTGGGGCTGCCCACGACAAGCTTCACGCATTTCCTCGTTCTCACTTGCAAGAATACTGCGTGTTCTTCGCAACAACTGAAGAATAAAAACAGGGGCAAGGGACGGAAATATGGCGCATACGGTGTGGCTCGGACAGTAGTACGCGCGCAGGTCACGCCAACTGTCTGGATCCCGCATACGCAAGATGTACCATTCAACACGGCGGCGGTATGGAAACCACAACATGGTGGTAAAAGAAACCGCGGTGGCGAGCAAAAATCCCATGGCAAACAAGCCAATGTGCACGTGGAGACGTGACGTCACACAGTACCGTCGTCGCGCTTGACGATGTGAGCTCCGCCGCTCAGTGCCCCCAACACATCCTTCATGTCGCTAAAGAGGCCCTTGCTCTTCTTGGACGTGCTGTCTTGATCCATCATTCCTGACTGAGCGAGCTCTTGCACCTCCTGGTAGAACATAAGAGGGAGCAGAGGGCGGGGCGAACGCCAGCACGTGATCCTTCTCCCTCCGAGGACAAACACGGTGTGTCGTTTCGATGCTATTGTGTTTTACACCTGTCTTCACAAAACAAAAATAAAAAGTATACGCACCTCCGGGTTTTCAAAAGTGCACAGAAGAATCAACTCGTTCGTGGCACGTCGTTTGAACATGGTCTGTCTGCGTTTCAACTAAACAACAATAGGGCCGGGAGCTTTAGCACAAACATGAACCAGCGTGGTCCATTCATGCTTTGCTCCGGCCGGACATTTGGGCCTTCCATACTTGTCTGCAGTGTTTGTTGTGTCTGAAGACGTCCTTCTGAAAGGTCATGTGCAAAGAAAGGGGGTGCCTGATATCTGTGTTAGGTGTATTCAGCACTAGATACGGATCTGTCGAGATCTAGGGGGGGTTCGTGTATCATGTTGGTATGTGTTTGTTGAAGGGCTATCCCCCTTCTGCCTTGCATGGGCAAGGATAGCCTGTGTACTCGTTAATATCAAGGTCCGCAGTCAACCTTTTCTCCGTAGCCTCTGACGGTAAGCACCCGCTACCCAACAATCTACACGTGTTATGTGGTGACCAGCAAGACCGCACTAGTATGCGATGTTTGTAAGCACGGTCTGCGAAGGCCGCGTGCCTCTCATCAGTGACTTCATCGACGCTGGCCCTGCAACACCGACCTACATACTCAAGGGTCCTCTCGTGTGTGTTTGATGTGTCCTCACCTCATCGTCCAGCGTTACCCCCTGGTCGTCAACGCTCGTTACGATTAGGTCTGCGACAAAAAGGGAATACAAGCGAAGCACAAACCTGTGAAGCTTTCAAAAAACATTTGTGAGACTTGCCTCGGGTGGACCAGGTCCTCCTGTGGACGTTTCGTACGTGTTTCTGAAACAAGTCAGCAGGAACGCAGCGGCGACATCATCGGCAGCAGGAGTAGAACGAAAACCTTGCAAGACTGCACACAAACACCAAGCAAGTCATGTTTACGAAAACGTCCACAAAAACAAGCAGCAGTGAACGTCGTGACATATCAATAGCTCCATGAATCACATCACCTGCAAACGCGGCGTCCGCTTGGTCAAACGCGGATTCAAGCCCCGCCCCCGGAGACGTGCCTAATAATAGAGGGTTTGAGGGCAGGAACGCGATCAACGACGTTTTGACGCTCCCTGACTCTTCAGAAGCACATGCTGACGAAGACACCCATGTAATGCGTAATCACCACTACTGTAAACCATGGCAGTCTTGTACACAGCCGTTAACTGCCTTACCGTAGGTGACAGTAAGATATCACACCCCCTGGGCCGATTTTCAAAGCTTGATTTCTTTCTCCATAGTAGAACAGTGGCTGCGCCGAAAAAGGCGGCGTTGGAGTCGTCTCGTCGAGAGCTTTCCGAAAACATACAAGTATCTTCCCACCGAAAACACATCTTCTCAGTATGCGTCCTCTTCGTCATGGAGCACATGTTGTACGTAGACGACCTTTTACATCGGTTCAGGGGGTGTGGTATCTTATGCAGCCTAACCCCTATTCTGTAGGATATTCATCACATGCCGACTACGAAGCACAGGCATCTGCAGCTGAGCCTAATTGGAAGCGACATCACTGCTGTGCAGAACAGGCAACAGCGAGCGGCTGTGGGAGTATGTAGGTGCGTAGATGTACCTGCCGCGAGGTTCGCACGCGCGTTCGCCATGGCGGAGCTGAGATCGATGTCATCGCTGCTGTCGGCTGCTCCATTCTTCAGCGTTCGCGGCGGTCGATTCCGATCAGTAGGAGGAGAGCAGGCACCCACATGTCGACCATTGCTGTTCGCCCCTGGACTTCGAAATACCGGCCTCGGTATTCTTGATACAGCAGCAGCAGCAGCAGCAGCAGGGATGAAGCCACTGCAGGTGTGTGCCGTGGTCATGAGAGACAGCGCAACTGCAACAAGACGACGACGAATCATGATTCGTCCTGTGAACAGGAGGAATAGAAGTGCTGCGCACAACCTGGGGCTAATTTGCGGCTTTCGGAGTGGCACCGCACCACCCTGTGAATGTTCAGTCGCCCCCGCGCCTCGGCTGCTCTCCCTGTCTCCCGGTCACTGCTGGTGCTGTGACAAGCTAGCGTGCTGGCTGGGGGAACGAGCGAGGGGGGTGGCGATCTTGTATATCGGCATGTATGTCCCGGTGCCCCTCAATATTGCACACCAGCAGTCGACAGCACAGCATGCATTGATATTCAACAATAGCTCTTCAGATTTTGTCTCTCTTGCTCTGAGCACCAACCCCTCACCAGCGATGTCGAGTAGTGCCAATGGCGCTCCGGGAGAGCGCGGAAAGGAGTACCAGTGCTTGCTCATGCACCCTTCCGCATCCATCGTCCAAGGCTGCAATCATTTCTATCCTTACGGTGAGTGAGTGTTCCCGGTAGACGACACTGCTGCACTCTCTAGACAGAGGTCGCAAAGGGCACAGCAGTAGAGTAGTGGGAATCATGTTGCACGCAGGCTCACAAAATCACCCCCTCCTCATTTAGAATGTACACCGGAGGTTCAATTTCGGACGTCACTCCCCATGGCGCCAATCAAAACTGCTGCTGAGGCGACAGCAGCGCAGGCTTGTGACTTTTTCAGCGCGGGGAAAAAAAGCAGGCTCTCTCGCGAACCACATGTTCCAACAAACACATGTTCTTTTGGGAGCTGGGCGCTTGCTTGCGCGTGCACGTTGCACGAGTGTAACACAACGACAGCAGCAGATCGCGTCTTTTGCGTTGTGATACGAAGGATCTGTGTTAGTCGCCATAATTATGGCGCGAACGTAAAACTGCCGGCTCTTCACTGAGAGATTTCCATAGCATACCATATAGGCTGTCACAACAAGTTTCAGACGCGGTTTTGTTTAAAAAATAGATGGCGGGTGCGGACCGAAGGGGACACAAAACAGAAGACAGACGGGGACGGTTGTGTGACGTGTGAAGTGTCACACGCGGAAGGCCATTTCTTTAGGCGGGAATACGAACGGCAGGAGCAGGGCGGAAAGGCCTTTGATATTGTTCAATCCTTGACACCACAGCGCACAGCAAGCCGACACAGGTTGGTGTTGATGTGTTGATCGACATCATGCAGCTAAAAAAAAAAAAAACAGCCCCCTTGACGACTCGCATGGGTCTGCCCCCCAACACACCGAATTTTGCACACCGGCTCTCCGGCTCGAGTACGCCACTCTGCTGTGTGGTACTATCTCTCTAACGGGTAGACCAGTCTTTCTGTGAAGGTATGTGCATGTTCTAAGAAGCTATGTACGTATCTATCATTAGCATCGGGCCGCATCCCCGGGGTGCCCTTCGTGAGTCCTCATATGCAGTACTGGGCCCTTTTTAGTGCCGGTATGTGTCCAGACCGCTGGCACTAATGCGAGTAGTGCCAACACGGCGCTATTCAGGTTTCGAATAACCCTCGTGAGTGCCGGTCCGGCACTATTGAGGGCGTGTTTGATTTCATGATGTGGCGCTCACGTTTTGCGGTGTAACAAGAGTACGATTTGGATCGAAATTTGTCAAGTGGTAACGTGGGCGTGGGCAGACTTTCTCGCGACACGTGTTGTTCCACCCTGTCGAACACACAGAGCTTGTTTTAATAAAAGAACTTGTTGCACAGTTTCTTTCTGCCCGCCTTAGCACACGTCCTGCACCGCCTGAATGTTGAGCGAACCCTTCAATAACATGCTCTGTAGTTTATTACATGCTCTGTACCGCTCTGCACATCTTCCGAAGAAATATTCCAAAAACAGCTGCCTAATGTTTTGAGGGCAAGAAAGCAGTGGCATTGGCCTCCCATGGATCACACTATTTCGGGCAACAGCACTAATCGACGGCGATAGGCAGACACACATCACGAACCCAATTATTAGCCGTTGACGGCAAAAAATATAAAAATGTAGGACGAAGCTTAATCTCATCACTCCTCCTTCGATGTTGCACGATAAAAAAGAAAACAGAAAAGAAACACGACAGGAAACGTTCAGCAAGAAAACAAACAGCCGTTAATACTATCATACTACAGCATACACCTGGAACCCCGTAGTCAATTTCGGTAACCCAGGAACAGGGTAGCACGAAACGCTTCACACTCAAGGCCACCGACATTCCCGCCTCCATCAAAATCGAAGGAAATGCGGACGAGGACATGCTGGAAATGATGGCTATTTATCGTGCGCATAGTAGCCTTCTATCTCAGGACAATGTTTCTCAACAAGAAATCGACCATCGTGCTATTTATCAAACACCTCCCCCTCATCACACACGGCGCAGCAGCGCAGAGCCTCAACCTCGTGCTCAGCTCGTCGTTAGAATGGAGGCCACAACAAATGCTAGCTCGCCTTCGTGCCAGGGGTGAAACTATCGAACCAACCCTCCCACGCACATGGAGCGACTATGTCACTGCTCTCACCACTCTTTTTGCACCTGCCAACCGAGTTCCGCTATTTGCTCGGGAAGTCATGACCCTGCAAGCAGAGAGTAGCGGGTCGGTAGACATGTCCGCACTGAGAGTGTCAAGAACATACGCACGGTTGCTAGCAGAAGCTCAAGGCACGACCCCACCGACCAAGAGCGCACATGAGCACGTCTTTGATGAAGCGTTGATTGCGTCTTTCGAAAACGGCCTACATCCGCACATCCGTACAATAGGAAGATGCTTAGAGAAGATGCGAACCAAACCTTCTTGGAATCGAAAGGGCGTGCTAGAAAACACGAAGCGAATCCGCTCAGAACAGCCACGGTTCCGTCCACCGCTGAAAACCTTGCCGTGTCCGCCTTGCACGACCCCCTCGACGACGCTCAGCTCTCCGAGAAAAGTGATCTGTTGACGGCTCGTGTCAACGCCCTAGAGGGAGCTCTGGGGACGACTGCTCATGTCTCTGGAGTTGATCGGAGCCGCGACCGGGTCCAGAAAATAAAAGGCCAACCGTGAACGTCCTAAATCCAGGGACAAGCAAGGCAGGCCCCACCAAGAAACCGGTGCGGGCGAAGCCAGACGGGCAAGACGTAGAGTGCGACTATATGGCGTGCAAGTATGGACCGGGACGTTTCACCCACTCGCGCAGTCAATGCAAAGTTGAAGCGAGTCACAAGAAGCACAATCTTGTGATGTCAAAGAAGAAACTGCTGCTCTTGTGATGTCAAATTTTGATGAGCAGCGGGTTTTGATCCCGTGTCTTTTGGAATCTGACACCACTGTCGGCGCCATTGTGAAAAGAGGGAATCGTCCTCGACAGACGTCGGGGAGAATGTACCTTTATGAAGGTGGCCTCCACATACAGCTGTGACTTCCGCCCACTACGTCTCGACAATTTCTCTCATGTCTGCCTGGCGCACCCGCTTAGCGGAATGCGCTGCGATCATCGTCGTCTTTGCTTTCGCCAGGTAGAGCGTCGCGTCTCCTAAGCACCTTCCCGACATGACATGTACAGTTGTTATGTTCTGCAGCAGCACGTGTACGCTAGTTTCTCTGTTTGGGTTCTGTCTTCTGCCTGTCTTTTGTCTTCACGTGTGTGTGTGTCTTTGTTGCTGGCATCGACCGCGCTAACAGGCTCACCAATGAAGAGACGCCAGTCTTAGTGCGGTTGAAAACACCCTTCTAAATGCCATTTACGGGGTGTATGTGAGCGCGCGTGAACCGGCACTATTGGGGGGGAACAACGGCGCCCAACCGGCACTATATCGGGCCCGCCCTTTTTAGTGCCGTCTGGCACTTTGTCGGGCTGCCTCTGTGTCCAGAAAATTTACCAGCACTAAATCGGGCCCCTGGCACTATTCGACCGGCACTAAAAAGGGCCAGTACTGTACAGCCTATTACACGCGTCATCAGGCGTTTCAAAGAATGTCTCCTCATCGTTCAGAGTACGTGCGTTGGACGACGACTACTGTAGTGTATCGTCACTTGAGATTTCTTGCCGACTACACCTCCTCCACCCCCACCCCCACGCCGCGCCTCCCAACAACAACACACAAACACAAAAAAAAAACGAATAGGCTGCACTCCCCCCGAGTACCTCCTGGGCGGCGTCCCCATGGACGCCCGGCGCGCCGACATGCTCCTGCTCGGCTGCTCCGACGCCCGCCACGCGCTCTTCACCCTCTGGACCTACGGCTCCGAGTGCAGCCGGGAGCGGGGGCGCTGGGACGGGCTCACCTCCGAGGAGCGGCGCCAGCAGAACCAGCAGCACCCCGACGGCCTGCGAACGCTGCGCTTCACCATGAACGACCGGGAGCCGGCCTGCCTTGCCCGCGTGCTGCTGCTGCTCCAGCTCTTTTGCAACAGCCACGATGACTTGGTGAGAGGCTGTGGGAGCGGGCGGGCCGTGATGGTTGCGAGGGGGGGGGTATGCATGTCACGGTGCAGCAGCACGTCGTTTTCGCGGGTGAAGAAAGTCAGAGTTGTTTTCCCACGCAGCGGTGGCCTGGGCCATTCCCAGGGCTGACAAGGCTGCTGGTGCTGCTGATGTTGTTCCTGCTGCTGGTGCTCTCTCCTTCCACGCGAGAAATGGCATCTATTATAGTGTTGTTGTTGCCCCATTTCTTCGGTCCGCTTGTTGTCGGTTTCAGTACTTCAAACGCTGCCAACCTCGTCGTATTGGTCTGCATATCTCCCTCCGTTTGTTTGGGTGCGGTTGCTTGTTCATGTTTGCGGTGTGGATCAGCTGAGGGCGTGCTCGCCGGACGCTCCGCCCGAGCAGCTAGACGCTTACTCGGCAAAAATCGCGCTGTGCTTCAACGCCTACTACAACATCTACGTCGACAACGCCACGCTTCAGGCCACCCAGGTGATCTTATTTAGCTTTGCTGCCTATCGGCGACGCCATTTACCACCTCCATTATTCACCAGGGGTTCATGTACACATGGCCGAAGTATCGATTTAGATCGGTTGGTTAACGACAGGGTTTAACTTTATGATGTGATAGATCGTGGGGCTGACTTGCCTCCAGTGCGCCAACGGGCAACCAGCAACGAATGACAGACATATGGATCCGTACTTGTTGTTCGTTTTGCTGGTTAGTCGGTCGCACTGTTGGTGTTTGTATACTGGGCCCGCACATCGCAGACGTTGAGACTGTGTTAGACTTTCCTTTTGCGTCAAGTGCCGTCGTAAGCCGCTGTCTGTCTTGGCTGTGGATGGGCACTGTGCGTTCTCGAGAGGGCGGGTAGTTGTTGAGAATGTTTTTTTTGGCGGGGGGTACTGTCGGATGGATTTGTGGTTCGGCGTCCTGGCGCCGTCGGATACCTTTCGCTCGCGACAGGTGTACCGATACCGTTTGGTAGTTTAGCACCTCTTGTTTCTGCTTTTTCGGACAATGTGCGATCGCGTCTCCAAGCGTCCAAAAAGTGCACCAGGTTACAGGCTCTCCTGTAGCTGCAGGCGCTGACACCGACCGGCATCTTTTGACCGATCTGCGAGGACATGGAGAGCATCACGCCAACCTGGATGCCGTAATCATCGTGGTGTGCCCGCTGCCTCTTCTCTTGTCTGCTGCCGCCGGCGGGTTGATATTGCTGTTAACCCTGCCGGTCGTCTTTCTCGTCGTGTCACCTGCGCTTGGCGGCGAGGACAGGCCGCAGCTAACCAGCTCCTGGAAGCGTCAGCGTCGCCCGCCTCTTGGAGCATGTCTCCCGTCGGATCTATCGCCCATATTGCAGGCCGGAGCTCTCTAAAGTGAGCGAGTGAGGGAGGGGGGGGGTGTTGCACTTTGTTTGAATGCCTTGAGTCTGTTGGATCTCATCCCACCGGTTCTCTTTGCGAAGGGAAGCCGCCAGCTTGTCGGGTGCTGTTGACGTTTCTGCCATAATTGTAAGGGAATCCTTCAGGACGAGGGCGCGCGTGGGGGGGGGGACTCGGTGCTGGAGTCTGATGGTTAACGGTGCGCGAGGATTCTCTCTACACGTGTTTCTCTACACGTGTTTTTTTACGATGTTATGCATTCTCCTCCTGAACATATTTTGCTTCACTCAGCTTCAGAGAGGAGCAAAGGGGTTTCCGTTTGGCTCTTCTTTTTTGTTTTTATCCACTACCCTGCGTCATGTTTTTGTGGGCTTGTTGTTCTATTGTAGGATTTCGTGTTTTCGCGAATGGCGTTTTTATTCTTTTCTGTACCTTTGTTGGGGTTAGCTTGTGACTACGGATACCCGTTTAACTCTACCTTAACTCTACCTTGGATGCAGAGGACCAAACGTTTGTTGCTGTAAGACAGCAACAAAAACAGCAACAATACTTGTATGAGGTGTACGTGCGTACGCTGTACGTGCGCTACAGTGATAGTGTCTGGAGCGCGCGTGCTGCGCTCGTTTCGGGTCTGCCGGACGTTGGTCCTAGAACACGGTCTCACCCCCCATATGCCCTTATTGCGGTTCTGCGCCCCCCCCCCTCCTGGTTTGCTTCGCCCCTGCAGCCGCCTGCGCTGCATGTGGTACGTGTATGCCGATACGAGCATTGTCCAGATCAAGCCGAAGAAGCAATTGGACAAGGAACGCAAGTGAGTGCACGGGCTCTCGTCTTGTCTCGTCTTGTCTTGTCTTGTCTCGCGTGCGGTTTAAGGGAAAACAGCTAGCGATCGAGAGAGCGGGTGTGCGAGCGACAGCCGCCTTTTCTCTCTCTAAGTGTACATGTTTCCTTGTCGTTTTTTCGTCCCGGGTGTGTTCGCTGGAAGGCGTAGTGCACCGGCGTCAGAATGAATGAGACAACAACAGATAAACGGCACCGTAATTCAGTTTTATTTTTTCTTCTTGTTCTGATTTTGTCGCGCAGGACCTACCATGATCAAACGGTGTTCCCTTCGAAGAACGCCTCTCCCATCCTCCTGACCGGCGAGGGCCCCGGCATCGCCGCCCCAAAGGCGATGGAGTGGGGCACGGAGATGACGGGCATCCACAGACAGTACCAGTCGTGGGGATACCTCGACCCCTTCCCGGTGCTCCGCGACGGCGCTAGGAGGTACATACACACACAAGCCAGATGACCTTCCCCACCACAAACGGCGCAGGGCTAGAGAAGAAATGTCGAAAAAGTTGCTGCGAAAACGATTAGTGAGAACGATGGAGTTGGAAGGAAGGAGGATGGCGGTGAAAGCACTCCAAACCGAACTAGAGTGCAAGGTAGCAAGCAGCCTTGGTAGACGCGTGCAAGTATTCTTCTGTTGCTACCGTTTCTTGTCTTTGATCCGGAGAATAGCTTAGCCTCCCTCATGCCGCCCCCTCACGGGGCCCCAGTTGATGTGCATTTAGAAGTGTTTTTGTGTTTTCAACCGCACTGAGACTGACGTATTTTGGTTGGTCAGCCGGTTGGCGCGGTCGATGAAATATTTAAAAATCACACACACACACGCACACGGGAGCTAAGGGGGGGGGGGGGGGGGGGACCCCTAACCCGGGAAGCCCGAATCCCTTTGCCCGTGAACCCCCACCCCCAAAAAAGCGGGGGAGGGAGCGGCGGGGTTTTTCCGGGGCGGGGTACATTTGCCCAAAATTTCCCCAGGGGGAAACCCCCACAAGAAATTGGGCAATCCCGGGGGGGGGGGGGTGCTTCCCGGTAAAGGGGGGGGGAAAAAAAAAAACAAAAAAAGGCACCCGGGGCCCCCCCGGGCCCCCCAAAAAAAGGGGCGAGGGGCCATTCCCCCCCGGGGGCCCCAGAAAATGGGTTTTCCCCACCCAAGCTTTTGTT